CCAGGGTGATGTGAATGAAGTTATAAAGTACACTGTTCCCTTTGAAGATTTACCCGTCTCCTCGGTATAATCTGCTTTTCCATATCAAACTGAGAAGAAGAGACTGCAGCCTTGATCAAACTTGCGAAGTCTGAACTTACACGGAGATAATGCAGGACTGAACTGTGCGTGTAAAGCAGGTCGCACACCAGAAGCGACGCTCGGCGGCGCGCCGCGCAGCGCCACGTATTTTAGAATTCTAAACATAGGTTTCTATCAGGATACACACACCGGCGGCTGTCGGCGGCGCCCGGCGACGGCTCAGGACGCAGTTCATTTTTCAGCCGCGCCACAGAGCGCCATCTGATTAGTTTCATGTTAAATATCATTCGAATGTGCGCGTCTGGTGTGCGATACTTTAATCTGTCATGTACGCGCCGTGTCGCGGCGCCGAGCGGCGCTTCTGGTGTGCGACCTGCTTTAGAGTTTTCCAGCTCTTTTCATCCCCGCTTCTAGCAGCACACTCCATTTCCGCATTACTGGATCTGTAGCAACAACAGACCGCAAGGGATGATGGACAAGCATGGGCTGATGGCAATTGTAGTTTTCGTTACCTCCCGTTCGCTTCATTCGCCTGAGCAAATTTTCTCAGAAGACCTATAGTTTTACCGAGTCATGCGACTTCGGTAATATCGAAAAAAATTAATATTGCGGTATGACGGTATTTACAATACCGTTACATCCCTACTTAATACTACAGATAAAATTGCTTATTTAATCTCTTTGGATAAAATAATTTGCCAAATGACTAAATCAAATCATGTTATGTTATGCAAGTTTAGTAAAATTGTCTGCTGATGTTTTGCAGATGTCTGTACACTTTCATACATCCATAACTATGCAGTCTGCTTGCTTTTGAGTGTTCACAGACCAGCTTTGACTGTTCCAATATGGAGGATGGATTATGTATAGCAACCCTTAGAACAGCTTCTGTTAAGGCATCTGTGCATATGAAACTACGTTTACTGCAGTTGGTTTTCAGAGGCATTTTCTTCTCCACTTTTCTGTTGTCACAGAAAGATGGGGGAGTTTTGAAACTGCCTTTGGCTGTTGAGAGAGCAGAGAGCGCCATGGCAAATTCTTTTCCTTGCCGCCCCTCATCCCTCCACATGCTTATGGCTTATTTTTAGCTTTGGCCTTGCATGGAGCCCTAAAGCAGACCTCCCTCATCATGCTCACAGTCTCTTCTTGATGGAGCTCTGTCAGTTTAAAGTCACAGACACACTAGTTGTAAGACGTAGGTGATGCAGAACTCCAGCTGTGGGTTCGACTAAACAGGCCAGGCTCTGCCAGCAAGTAACCGGCTACTAAGTAGCTGTTTGGTGCCAACAGAGAGGCTGGACGTTTCACTCATTTGGAGTGGAAGAGGAGGTTAGGTAGTATCACTGGTTGTTTACAAGTGTTAATCTGTGTTTTCTTTCTCTTTGGTTTGTTTTGCAAGGAGCAGTACATTTTTTGTGTCAAAACAACTGCTTGCCTTTGTCAATTATATAAACAGTGTAACAGCTGAGCATATGCCTTTTTATTTTTTAAGAAAACAGCACTAAAAAAGTACTTCCTTGTCTTGAATCAAGTTAACTTTACAAGTAATTTCAATTGGCATTCATTAAACTGAAACCTAAAACCTTTCATCTTAAAAAACATTGAAACATTATTAATGTTATTACATTGTTTTTTTTTTACAATAACATGACATATTAATCATGTAATTTATGTTTTGAGTAAATAATTATGGAATATTTTGGAGGAATATTTCAGTATTATATTGGAGGACAAAAGTATGGGTTTATTAATGATGAAAAATAAAACAAAAAGATAACAAAAACAAACCAAGGGTGACAACATCAACAAACAAACAAACAAACTTGACTGAGCTGGGAGGGAAGAGCTGGGAAGAGCAGGACTGGACAAGACATGATACGACAAGACTTGAAACTCTTAAAAAATGGCGACGGATTGGCACAGAACAGCAGACAAGAGGGACCTATAAGGAAGACAAATTAAGAAACAAACAGGAAAACAGAATAAACTAATAATGAGATACCAAGATGGGAGAAACTAGACAATAGAAGAGCACATGATACAAAGACACAACACAAGCCATGTGCTCACGTAAAACAAGTCTAAAACACGCAGCCAGTGAGAGAACCCATAAACTGCGGGTTTACATGAAACACTAAAGCATGCGGTAACAATGTAAACACACAGCCACATGCTTTATACAACACCAACAGAATACTGAAAGTAAGACACGAGTACACAATAAATAAAAAACACTCACAAATGTGACAAGCATGTTCCGATCCCAGCATGAATGGAAACAGAAACTAACTAGACTAAAGCGCTGAGAATAAAACACCATGTCGCAAACCAACAACACACACCAGGACGAGCGAGCACATGTGAACAGAACAACGACAAGAGACACGTAACTGACAAGACATGACCAGTGCCCGGACTGCCACAGAAACAAGAATTAACAAGACTGCAGTGGAAGAATCTTGACTGTTACATAATTAAAATGACGTAAACTATGCTGTTTAATAATTATTTTATTATATATTATTAGGTTAAGTGTTAGTTTTAGTCAATGTCATATTTCTGGCATACTTTAAAATGGATGTATTCTTTCCTAAGATGACATGTACAGTATATATAAACATTTTAATTGAATTTCAGAATTAATTTCAGAGTTCACATAAGATGAGGGTTGTACACATTTTATGCATTATAAATAATCAAATGCAGTATGCATACATTTTAATTATTTTCTTTAGTGTTACTGCTGTTGAAGTTTTAGTGCAATCCTACAGATTTCCACTGTTGTTCACACAAAACCATGGGCACTGGAAAAAACCCACAAACACATGCAAAACATTCCTGGTACGAGCATCAATGTGTGAAAAGAGTATAAATAGCCCAGCTGCTGCACGTCCAGGTCAGGCCAATTTGCCTCCGGCTCCACTGCATATGCAGACTTTCTCTTTACTTTCTCCTAGATCACACATCCTCATTCTGTGGTTTGACAGGGAGTCATGCAATCCCCAGGAGCTTCAGATTGTGAAATGACCCCTGCCCACGCGCTGTCAATGGAGACAGGTGCCGTGGATAAATAGCTGACCGGGTGCAGTTGGCACTCGCATCATAGAGGAGGCGTGCAATCTGCGTTTGTACAGTAGAGAAACCTCTCATGATGAGAGATTGAAGGAGCCCTCCGGAGTGCCTTTCATTTCTTTTACCCCAACTGCATTTTGGGTTTTGACTCGAGCACAGATTGTGGATGCTTTTCTCGCTTTTGTTCTCGGGTTGTCAATTTTGTCTTGCCTTGCTTTTTTTTCTCACAGTGAACAGCCATAGGTCTGTTGATTTCTGTTTTTCGATTTGAAGCCTTGTGACAGCTGCTGAAAAATCCAGCTAAAAGCTGCTTGTGTCAGTTTCAAAGTTTGGTTAAGCACTTGATTAGCTGTATTTATCTCTCAATTTTCTATCTCAAACTGCTCGTATACTGTAGGACCTTATTTATCTTGGTTAGAGTTATTATAGAAAATTTAGTCATTATGGCTGACTGGGGGCAGCTGGCACTTGCACCACTGAGAAAACATACACTCTGCATAGTACAATAGAGAAACTCATGATGAGTCATGTTTAGATGAGGGATTGAATGAGCCCTCAGGACTGTGAGATACATATATATATTTTTTTGTTTGTTTGTTTTTGTTTTAACCCCGACTGCATTTTGTGTTTTTATTTAGATTGTAGGTGTTTTTGTAGTTCTCAGGTTGTCAGTTTTGGATGGTGGTGCTTTATTCTTCATATGCACATACTGCAGTTATGAGATAATTAAAACTGTATAACTGTTAATCAGTCGGTCAGACAGGCATATGCAGTGAATCAATCAATTAGTAAGCAATTATTTAATAAGTTGGATTCAATCAATTACAAGTCAATTGGTCAATCATTAAGTCAATCAATCAATAAATCAATCAATCAATCAATCAATCAATCAATCAATCAATCAATCAATCAATCAATCAATCAATAAATCCATCGATCAATAAATCAATCGATCGATCGATCGATCAATCAATCAATCAATCAATCAATCAGTCATTCAGTCAGTCAGTCAACCATAATGTTGGTCAATCAGTTGATCAATCAATTATACAATCACTTATCAATTAGTTTTTAATCAGTAAGTCAATAATATGGTCAATTAATCAAGCAACCAATTATTTGGTCAGTCAACCAGCCAATCAGTCAAATTAACATATCAATCAATCAATCAATCTGTTGGTCAATAAGTTCAATCAAAATCAGAAAAAAGTCAGTCATCCAACCAGTCAGTTAATCACCAAATCAATCAATTTAGCAATCAGTCAATCAATCTTTTGGTCAATCATTTGGTCTGTCAATCATCATTTTTTTTTAATCAGTAAGTTGATAAATTGGTCAATCAATCAATTGAGCAATCATTTAGTTGCTCAGTCAATCAATCTAACAATCGACAAATGAACAAATCGATCAATCAATCTGTCACTCAATCTGTTGGTCAAACAGTCAATCACAGTCAATACATTGGCCAATCAATCAATCACTCAATCAATCAATCAATCAATCAATCAATCAATCAATCAATCAATCAATCAATCAATCAATCAATCAACCAATCAACCAATCAATCAACCAGTCAGTTGGGCAGTCAGTCAACCAACAAATCAGTCAACCAATCAACAAACAAATCAATCAACCAACCACTCAATCAATCAATCAATCAATCAATCAATCAATCAATCAATCAGTTGGGCAGTCAACCAACCAATAAATCAGTCAGCCAATCAACAAACTAGTCAATCAATCAACCAACCAATCAATCAAGAATCATCGTGACTTTAAACTAGAGTTAGCTTTTTGTATATTTGCAAATGTTCCTAAACACTTTTGTATGTTTACGTTTTCTCTAGCTGCTTGTAAAGACCATCAGCGAGCTCTGGAGGTCACTCAGCGGTCAGAGGAGATGGGACTCATCCTGGGAGTGTGTGCTGGTGGACTGGTGGTCCTGATACTACTGCTGGGAGCAATTATCATAATCATTAAAAAAGGGTAAGTTCACAGAGTGAACAACAGCATGCTTTGCTTTAAGTCTTAACTCGGTAAATGGATTTGGACACTCAAGTCACATTTAAATATGTAATTGTCATTAAGTAAAACGTTTAGTTTATACACAGCTACATGTATGGGAAATAAAACCAAGAGACCACTTGTAAATTCTCAGTTTCTTCAGATGTTCTGGATTTAATATTATAAGTATGTGTTTTAATGAAACGTTAATATTAGTTTTATTCTGCAAAGGTGTGATGAAATTTCTTCTGAATTTCTTCCTTACTTGTTTTACTCAAACATATTATAATTAATTGTAAATCCAGAGAAATTGATTGATTGATTGATTGATATTATTTATCAAATAAAATTATATTCTTGTGACTTGACTTTCCAAACACATTTGAGGCATTAGCCACTGCACAGTATGTTCTGCTTCAGATTTAGACACTGATAGTTGTGATCCAGTGTTCCATTTTTACATATTTATTTTAAACTTTCTGTTTAAATGAGACTTAATCTGTTTCTGAGGGACGGGGCTATAGTGTGCATTCAGCTATGACTAACTTAAACTTACCCATTGTGGTTTATGACTTTGATTATTGAGCTCAGTCAAAAGGCACTCAGGTGTTCTCCCCTTCATTCTCACGTGCATCAGCGAAGAGATTGCCAGGGGTTTTCATCTTCTGAGATTATCTGAGTGTGAAATATTTAATTAAAAGGAAATGCAATTCAATTACTCACTTAATTAGGCCCTGCCCGCTGCCGCCCTGAACCAGAAATGAGCCAATAATTGGGATGGAGAAAGTGCGCTTTCAGAGATAATTAGCCTGTGGTTCTCAAAAGGTCATCAGATCCAGTGGCAAATGAGAGACGTGAGCCTCTCGTTCCTCAAACAGCACAGATAACTGAAGATGAATCTACGCTATGGTCATCTCATAGATTCATCTTTAAAAGCTGATAAAGATCATTCACCATCTGATTTTTATTTTTCTTAAGAATTTCTCCCATGCATGAATAGTGATTGTCTGGAGACTACTGTTTTAAGCATTCATCTGTTTTGTATGATGGTGGCTGGTTTTTTGGTGCTGGTGGGGATGCAAGATAAGCAGATAATTCATATTAATAATCGTATAGATATATATTTATATGCATTTTCTATAGTGTGGCATTTGTATAATGTATAAAATACATCAATATTAAATAATGTAATATTATAATTATTATAAGAGTTTTATTTTTGTAATAATTATAATTCGTATATATTATTTTGAAAATCTGAAAGTGTTAAGTGACTGACCTGTTGGACCCTTATGGTCCACAGCATTACAGTACTGTGGTCTGTTCTTTGTACCTCGCTTAAATGATCTACGATGATTTGACAGATAATGGATCTTTTAATCTTGATAACTGATCTCTGGCTAATTTGGTTCTTCAAACAAGTTTGTGAATCAGATTAAAATGTCTGGATAAACTGATTTGAAATCACTACGTGTGTTGTGAAGGACAGATCTATCGATCCTCAAAATATTGATCAGCAATGCAACGATTGGCTGACGTCACATCAGCACAATGACATCATCTGATTAATATTCAATTATCCATTTGAGCAAAAATACATTAGAGTCGTAGTAAACAGTTTGTAAATATGATACGCAATAACTTTACACCTCTGTTGTAAGCTGCTTGTTTTTACACTTTTGTGTGTCAAGAGTAAGCAAGTGTTTAGCAATTTATTTGGTTTTACATTTGAGAGCATTAAATTTTATTTATTGTAGTAGCCTAGGCCTCTGTAAGTTTCTTAATCGACAAATTTTAATTTTGCATTAAAAAAAGCATTTTGATATTGGTAAACGTGCCTGCAACTTAGCATCAAATCACCGTCATATCAGCTGTCAAAACTGTATAAACTATTATTCCTTAAAAAACAAAGAAACAAAAAAACGGTTGAAAATTGTGCATGTATATTATCATAAACAAATTGTAAAGCTGGTTTGGTACCTTAAAATACTACGCTTTTGTATGTTTTTGTATCTGTATATATATATATATATATATATATATCTGAAGTTTATATTTTTTTTCTATTTTTTAAATATTTCCCAAATGATGTTTAACAGAGCATGGAAATTTTCACAGTGTTTCTGACAATATTTTTTCTTCTGGATTTTTACAATAAGTTGCCTAACTACCCTTGCTTGCCTAGTTAATCTAATTAACCTAAGTAAAGCCTTTAAATGTCAATTTAAGCTGTATAGAAGCATCTAAAATTTTACTGTCATCATGGCAAAGATAAAAAAAAATCTGATTTTAGAAATTAAATAAATATAATATAGAAATAAAATAGAGTTATTAAAACTATTATGTTTAGAAATGTGGTGAAAAACACTTCTCCCCGTTAAACAGAAATTGGGGAAAAAATAAACATGCTGGCTAGTAATTTAGGGGGGCTAATAATTCTGACTTCAACTTTTTACAAGCATAAATGTTATTAGTTATTAAATAATATTAATTATTATAAATTATAAATGTAATATACTTTTTTTTTTTTACTATTTTGCTAGGTTAGTTCTGTAAGAAAATATCAGCATTCAGTTTACTTGCGAAGACCCAATCTAATCCTATTTATATGAAATAAACCTGCTCCCGAGTGTGTAAATGTGTAAACCACTTTGTGTGTCAAAAAAAGCTCTATATTAATGTAAGGAATTTCAAATACTTATTTATTTATTTAGCAGATTGCTGCCTTGGTAAGCATAAGAAAACATTAAAAAAATATATTAAAAAGGAAAAATTGTAGGTACTTCAAATTCTTGATTTGTAGTTTATGCATGAATGACCACCTTTTTTTAAGCAGGAAGGGATCTGTCTCTAACACTACCAAAAACCAACCAGCTTGACCAATCTTACATAGTCATAGCCTAAATATTATGGCTAACTTTTTTAGATTTTAAATGAAAAATGATCAGAACACTCTTCAGCCTCTCTTTTCCATCTTCTAGCATATAGGGGAAGAGGGACGTTTATATAAGCTAAACGTTTAAGTGCAGCAAACCCTCAGTGCAGCCATTAGCCAGAGATAGAGTATCAAAGAAATGCTACTTCAGCTAGCTATGGGAGTCTTTCCCGCTCAAATGGAAAGAGAGAAATATACCGGGCCTTTGTGTAAAACAGAAAAAAAAAACTTAAGCCATTTAATTCAAATGCACCCCAAAATGGAGCTGAAGAGCGATTGTAATGCGAATGCAGATGGAAGTGTTCGCCAAGCGTTTCATTGGACAATTTAGCAGATATTGGGTTAGATTGCGCCCGCCGAAGTTGCGACTGCGGAGAGCGAATATAAAAGTCCCTCTCAGCAGGCCACTTTGTTTAACTCGTTAAAAGCAACAAGACGACATATTTGATTAGTCCGCCATTTCCCGCTCTGGCTGAGGTTTTGTGCGTATCTGCATGCATCCCATTACTCGCGTGGCAAATGCAAGCTGCTGACGGCTTGCCATTTTTCACTCTAATCAGAGCTTTGCCGGTGCTTGCATCTCATGTCCCTTCTTCTTCTTGTTCTCTTTTTTTCTCTTTTATTTTCTCTCTCTCTCTCTCTCCAGAAGGGATTACTACTCATACTCTTATTATCCGTAAGTGGCTTTTTCTCCATTGCACATCATCATTTCTCATGGCTTTTTTGTGTGCGCTTTTTTCGAGAAGGGGGTTGCAGCGGAATGATGATCTTCTCTTTCTCTCTCACCAACTCTTCTAACTCACCCCATCTCTCTCTCTCTCGTTTCCTTCACGTTCCATTTCTCTACCTCTCCTTCTTCTCTCCTTGGCCTCTTCTCTCTGTCTCCTCAGTAGGAAGCCGGGGAACATGAATAAGACCCCCATTACGTACAGGCAGGAGAAGAGTAATATGATGGGTTCCATGGAGCGCAGTTTCACTGATCAGAGCACTCTGCAGGAGGACGAGAGGATGGCCTTGTCATTTATGGACACCCATACGTGCAGCACTCGCAGTAAGATGTGACACCACCCTCACACTTACACACACACACACACACACACACACACACCTCAACTTGGATATTAAAAATTTTAGAAAAGTATTGTCGTTGATGGCTTATTAAAGGGTTAGTGGCTAAAAAATAAAAACTCTGTTATTAAATTCTCATGCTCATGTCAATCCAATGCCCTGAAGCCTTCGTTTCATCTTTGAAACACAAATGAGTAAATTTTAGATCAAATCAAAAATCAAGTCCAGAAAGGGAGCCAAGAACATTGTAATATCATTCCTTGTTACTTAAGTAGTTGGTATCAGCAATGGTATTAAGATATCAGATCAGAAGTGCTGAAAGGGAACCAAAGACAACAACTGTAGTCATATGAAGCTCCAAGAACTCTTTTGTGCACCATAAAAGGTTGCTTTTTCAATCATTAAGTGACAATCAGCAAAAAAGTTTGCTTGTCATGTCATGTCATGAGTGCACATTTACTATGCAGTGTTGGGCAAGCCACAAGCTATTAGCTACAAAAGTAGCTTGAGTACATCTAAGCTACAGTATATTTTGCAATTTTCATTTTTAAATTGAAGCAACTTAAATCCAAGACAATCATATCCTGTAGTAATCAATACACAGAAACCTATAGTATATTGTAATATATAACAGTAAAAACAACATATTACACATAAACAAACTATAGTAACTTAAAGTAAAAGGAAATGTTTAGGAATAAGCATTATAATGTATATATATATATATATATATATATATATATATATATATATATTTACAACTCTTCATTAATAAGCTACTCTACATAATGTAGTATCATTAGTAACTATCTTCTAATAATAGTAATTACCATAATGTACTCAAGTTTGTACTACAGTAAACTATATATATATATACATAATATATTTTTCAAGACACTTCTATGAAGCTTAAATCAAATTTTTAATGTAGTTCAAAACATTGTAGTACTTATAGTAGTAATTACTGAAGTATTTTTTGAGCACAGCATCAGAATTAAAGTGATTGCATCTTAACATGTACTTCTCGAGGTATGGTCATGAGGAATCCTGCTTTAGAAATAACCCCAATCCCTCAGTCATCTTTCTATCAAGCAAATATTCTCTGTTAGCCTAATTGGTTGGCGACGTCATCGACCGGAGTAAGAGGGGGCAATAAAGCACCAAAATGTTTGTTGTCGACCACTGTAAATCCTTTCAAATTTCATCCAAAATATCTTAATTTTTTTTCCGAAGATGAACAAAAGGTCTAAGTGGATTGGACTGATGCGATAGTAAGCAGTTAATAACAGTATATTCATGCAAATGAACTCACTATTTACTCACCCTCAGGTGGCTTTAAACCTTTGTGAGTTTATTTCTTCATTTAACACCAAAGCAGATATTTGGAAGAAAGCCGAAAAGTGTTTCCAAAAGTATTTATTCATTCATTTATTTATTTATTTTGTTTGTTTATTGCATTCACCTGAAGATAGAAACTTATAAAGGTATGAAACAAGTAAAGGGTGAGTAAATAATGACAGAATTTTTATTTTGGGTGAACTGTGTGTGAAGTAGTTTTATTGTTCTTTCTGACATCTTTGCTTTTTAGAAGTGTAAGCTAATAGCTTTATTAAAAATGCTTTTTTGAGTTAATGCTGATTTGCTTGATGAGAACTGGGGTTGGTCTGAAGAGTTAAAATGTTAATAATTCACTCAAAAAATGTCATTTCTGTCATCATTTACTCAGCCTCATGTTGTTCCAAACACTTCTGAGTTACTTTCTTCTATGAAACATAAAAGGAGGATTTTTAAAGAATATCACTTGAAAGAAAAGTGAATGAGGACTGGGACTGTCAAGCTCTAAAATGACACCAGAAACCATAAAAGCGAGATAAAAAAATCTTCTGAAGCCATTTGATTTTTTTTTTTTTTTTTTTTTTTTGTGAGATGTTGCATTTATACCATGTCAGAATTGTGGTAATTATGAGAGTCTGACTAGTAAAAGATGTTTGGATTATTGTAAAATTAGATCTTGTAAACTGCTGTACAACTTGACTACCAGAGATTAATTTAGGCTTTGGCCATTATGCTTCAAAAACACATAATACAAAATATGAGGATACTGTCATGTGTTGTCATAAAAATTACTATAATTATGACATGGTGTCAACGGAGCATAATAGACCAACCTTTTCACTAAAAAAGGAGAAGAAATGAGAAAAGAAATTAGAAAATAATTATTTATTGAGATCTTTTTAGTTGACTTAGTTTACAAGACCAATCTGAATCATCAGGGATTCTGATTCAGCTCAATGATTCAGTTATTCAGTCACAGTGGTTAACATATTATCAGTAAATAACAAACTAAACTTTAGAACTAAAGTTTAAGTTTAACTTCCTTGCAACAGCAACAACAAAAATAACTTCAGATAGACATATATTTTTCTGGGTAAGCGTTTTGGTGCCACGCGTTCTCTACCAAAAACATTTTATGGGTGAAATAATGTTATTTTGTCCTTTATATAGTCTGTTTTATATATATATATATATATTAAAGAGTATTTTTATATGATAAAAAATGTCTTGCTGACAAATGCTTCACATTTATAGTATACACACAATACCTCATAATGATCATGTGAAAAAAAAAATCATTGTTGGAAATTTATTAAAAATAAAAAAGCTGAAACATCTCATGTACACAGGTTTTCCCACCTTTGTCGTGAAGCTCTAAATTGAGCTCAGGTACATTCTGTTTCCACTGATCAGTCTTGAGATGTTTCAGCAGCTTAATTGGAGGTTACCTGTGGTCAATTCAGGTGGTTGAACATGATTTGAAAAGGCATACACCTGTCTATATAAGGTCTCAGGATTTACAGTGCATGTCAAAGCACAAACCAAGCATAAAGACAATGGCATTGTCTGTAGACCTCAGAGACAGAATTGTCTCGAGGCACAAGACTGGGGAAGGTTACAGAAGTATTTCTGCTGCTCTGAAAGTTCCAGTGAGCACAGTGGCCTCTATCATCCATAAGTGGAAGATGTTTAAAACCACCTGGACTCTTCCTAGAGCTGGCCGGCCACCTAAGTCTAAGGGCCTTTGTCAGGGAGATGATTAATAACCCGATGGTCACTCTGTTTGAGCTTCAGCGTTCTTCTTTAAAAAAAAGGAGAATCTTACAGAAGCAAAACCATCAGTGCTGCAATCCATCAATCAGGCCTGTATGGTAGGGTGGCCAGACGGAAGAGACTCCCCGCTTGGAATTTACCAAAAGGCACCTGAAGGACTCTCACAGCATAAGAAACAAAATTCTTTGGTCTAATGAGACCAAAAGAAAACCAGGCACCACTCATCACCAGGCTAATACCATCCAGCATGATGGTGGCAGCATCATGCTGTGTGGATGTTTTTCAGCAGCAGAAACTGGAACTCTAGTCAGGATAGAGGGAAAGATGAATGCAGCAGTGTAAAGAGCCATCCTGAATGAAAACCTGCTTCTAAGTGCAGGTCCATCCATTTCATCCAGCTGGACAATGACCCAAAGCACACAGCCAAAATATAAATGCAGTGGCTTTACAACAACTCTGTGAATGTCATTGAGTGGCCCAGCCAGAGCCCAGACCTAAATCCTATTGAACATCTTTGGAGAGATCTGGAAATACTTGTACACCGTCGCTTCCCATCCAACCTGATAGAGCTTGAGAGGTACTGCAAAGAGGAATGGGCATACATTTTCAAAGACAGGTGTGCCAAGCTTGTGGCATCATATAAAAAAAACTTAAGGCTGTAAGGCAGCCAAAGGTGCATCAACAAAGTATTGAGCAAAGGCTGTGAATACTTCTGTACATGGGATTATCCAGCGTTTTTTTTTTTTTTTCTAAATTTGCAAAAAAAAAAAAAAAAACACATTTTCATTATGGGGTATTGTGTGCAGAATTTTGTAGAAATAAAGTAATTTAATCTATTTTGGAAGAAGATTGTAACCTTAAAAAACTGTGGAAAAAGTAAAGCGGTATGAATAATTCCTGAGTGCACTGCACTTAATGTATGTTAATAATACTTAATATGCCTGACATGATTGAGAAGTGTAAGAAAGGCTTTACTTACACTGAATACATTTTAGTAGTAACTTTCTGTAAATATTGTTTAAAATGTGTAATAATGCATGAAATGTGTAACAAATTGTAAATAAAATATTTTTTAAATGTATTTATTTATTTATTTATTTATTTATTTATTTATTTATTTTGTCCTAAATAAATAGAATGAAACTAACCCAGACACCTTAAACATAAAATTTAAAGCAGTACTGAACAGTTTATTAAACGTTTTGTATTGAAAATGCATTGAAAACTTAGCTTTCATAAAAGTGGATTCAGTAAGAAATTATTTAATTTAATTTAATTTAATTTAATTTAATTTAATTTAATTTAATTTAATATTTTTTTATAACTAAACATTAGTCTGTTCTTTGCAAAAAAAAAAAGGAAAGAAAAAAATAGACTTAACTTCAAATGTTTTTTTAAAATTTATGTTGAAACGTAAAAAACACTAAAGAAAAAATAGCATTTTTTCAGATTAAATTGAAATTGTTCAAATCTTGCCAAAATTTCTATTTTTAGGGGAACTATTCCATAAAATGCATTAGCCTTAATCCAGCACACTTTAATAAATTGTTAAAAGAAATTATTTGCAGCTAAAAGAATGTAAGAAGGCAGGAGAATAATAGAATATTTTTTACTGTACAAAAACATTTCCCTCACACTCACAGGTGCTAAAAAACAACAGCATGACGTGCTAACAGTAAAAATAAAAAGTGCAAATGAGCGGCTGCAGATTTTCAGTCACGTACACAATTAAAGCCAAGCTCAGGGACTTACTACATCACCTCCTGTTAATTTGTCCTCATTTGTAGTCAGTGCGAAAGCTTCATCAAAGCCACAGTTCCTCCGTAATCGTTCAGTCTTTCACAGCTCTTAAATATTAAATGTAGCGCTGGCCACATTCTCGCATGAGTCTTACTATAACAGCTATTCTCGTCTGACATAAAAATATAAATCCTAATAGAAAGATAAATCCGGAAACCTGTGAGAAATTGAGTGGACGGATGGAATATTTGGAAGAAATTCTGAAAAATAAAAGATGAGAAAATGCTAATAATATGCGATTCAAAGGTATCTGACTCTGCAGGCACTGAATAGTTGATGTCTCAAAGACAGAGATCTCTTGATCAAGATGAAGTTTTAATGGCACATCTCAGAGCCGTCTTGCCAGATTCAAGGAGTCTACTGCATGGAATGCGCCGTCTGGGTTTCTCCTTTTCTATTTCCGTTGAGAAATGAATAGCAGACTGCTAATTTATTTGAATACACAGCCGTAGTCATGAATTCATAATTACTCCCTGATCTTATTTTTGAATACCAATTATAAACACTGAAGATGAAGTACTATAAAGAGGATGATAATTCTCAGATTGACTTCATTATAAATGTTTTGTTATTTATTATAAAATACATTTGGGTTATTGTGTGAAGCTTTGTTGTTTTATATGTATTTCATTTTGAACGTGTTGGTTGTGTATGCTCATATGAAAGATGCATTTCGAAAGATGTAACATGCATTTCTGTTAAAGGCGATCCACGGAGCTCCATGAATGAGTCCAGCAGTCTGCTGGGGGGGTCACCTAGGCGTCAGTGTGGCCGTAAAGGATCTCCTTATCACACGGGTCAGCTTCACCCAGCTGTGCGTGTGGCTGATCTGTTACAGCACATCAACCAGATGAAAACAGCTGAAGGTTATGGATTTAAACAGGAGTATGAGGTAGGTTTTATTATTTATTTTTTTTATTTATATATTTATGTTGACTTGCAATATGTGAATCATACATTCACAAACTGTGTAATCATACCTTAAATCACACACACACTTATTTTATTTTATTTTTTCTTTTTTTGGCTTGCAGTATGTGAACTGACCAGTTTGTTTTATTATTATTTTTTTTTTATTTAATGAAATTTTATTAAAAAAATTTATTTATTTATTTTTGTTTTGTTTTGTTTTATTTTGTTTTGTTTTGTTTTGTTTTGTTTTATTTTATTTTATTTTATTTTATTTTATTTTATTTTATTTTATTTTATTTTATTTTTAGCGACAATAAATACCAGTATCCCCACTGTCCAATGAATAAGTGAATTTATTTAATTTTTTATTTAATTTAATTAAATTTTATATATATTTAATTTTATTTGATATATTTTAATTTCATTCAAATTTTGTTTTATTTAATTTTATTTAATATATATATATATATATATATATATATATATATATATATATATATATATATATATATATATATATATATATATATATTCAGTTGAAGTCGGAATTATTAGCCCCCCTAAATTATAATATAATATAAATATATATAATATAATATAAATATTATTATATTATTTTTTCAACACATTTCTAAACATAATAATTTTAATAACTCATTTCTAATAACTGATTTATTTTATCTTTACCATAATGACTGTAAATAATATTTGACTAGATATTTTTCAAGACACTTCTATACAGCTTAAAGTGACATTTAAAGGGCTAACTAGGTTAATTAATTTAACTAAACAGGTTAGGGGAATTAGACAAGTGATTCTAAAACAGTGGTTTGTTCAGAAGATTATCGAGAAAAAATATAGCTTAAAGAGGCTAATAATTTTGTCCCTAAAATGGTTCATAAAAAATTCAAAACTGCTTTTATTGTAGCTGAAATAAAACAAATAGGACTTTTCTTATTTGAAAAAAAAATATTTTTTTATGAGACATACTGTGAAAATTTCCTTGCCCTGTTAAAGATCATTTGAAAAATATTTAAAAAAGAAGAAAAAAAAAATCGAAGAGGGCTAATAATTCTGACTTCAACTATATATATAATAATTATTCATTTATTTTATTTATTTTATTTAATTTGTGTTTTTGATTTATAGATTTTTTTTACCTGAATTAAATTTTGTTAAGTATATATTTTCATTTTTTTATTAATTAATCAGTTGTATTTTTGTCCTTTAATTGAATTGAATTTTATTATTTTAGTTTTATTACATAACTTTTTATTTTATTGCTTCATTATATTTTAACTTATTTCATATATTTTTTATTTAATGTATTTTTCAATTTCATTTTTTTTTTTTGTATTTTTATTTGATTTCTTATTTATTTTATTTTATTTTATTTTATTTTATTTTATTTTATTTTATTTTATTTTATTTCAGACATGTAAAACCTGGGAAACCTAGGAAAGAAAATGGGATTTACAGTTTTGCTCAAGGATATCTTTTTTATTTGCTACTGCATGCTTTGTCAAATCCCCAAGTTATTTCTTCCTCTATAACTCTCAGCCTGGAAACCTGAAATATGTCTTAACTTCTTGGCTGATGTAAACCTGCTCTCTTCCTACCAAAAATTACATAACACCATCTAGACGGATATGAACTGGTGATTTCTGCTAGCTATTGATTTTTTTTATTTATTTATTTTTATTTGGTGTACTATATAAATGTCACTGGCAAGGGCTGACTGGTGTTTAAATACCCTTTAAAGCTGGTATTTAACAATTTTTACCAATCTTTACTGCATACTAAAAAGTGACCAATTATATGCGCTTTTTACAAGTCTCTGATATCTCTAGAGTGTGTATGTGAAATTTTAGCTCAAAATACAGCTGCTTCTTACTCAGGGCTGAGAGAGAGATCATCATTAATGGCCAGGGCTTTCCCACTCTGATGACACGTACAAAGGAAGAATGTCAATCCAAGTTTTTCTGCAGACTGTTTTTAGGAAGTGTGATTAAGAATCAGATTTAACTAATTATTTAGAGGCTAAATTCACACGCTTTGCCACACAATTGTGTTTAAAATTATAAAATAAAAGTGATTTTTGCATATTAGGTCCACTTTAAGCAAACAGAAAATCAAGAGAATGAGGTATTTATAAAAAAAAAAAAAGTAAAATTCAATTTACTGTATAAGCACTTTTACAGATGCCAGTAATTGAGATATTGACGTAACTATTCCTGTTGTTAAAAAGATGCTTACTGTAAATAGCGGTTTGCTGATTTAGAGTTTTATTTCAGAGGAAACCGCATCTACCCTATAGGCTTCTATTAGTCAGGCTTTAATAGCACCTCTTTGAAAACGGTTGAGCAAGAGGTTTCCGCCATAATAATATAAATCTTTCACAGCTGCCCTCACAGATTTTCTGGTTCATTCAAAGAAGTCAGAATATGCTTGGGCTTTAGTGTTGTTAGCAGTGCCACAGTGGAGAGGGACCGTCGGCGAGAACAGATCTCCAGCTTCCAGAACTCACCGTCTACAGGCCTTGTCAAAACAACTTCAGCACTGAATCCTCCACACGAAACACACCATTAATGCAGAGATGCATGTTTATGCTCAAGCACACACTCCAGACGTCTTATCGCCTCTCAACAATATGACATCCTCACACTGCTGTCGTGCCCTGGTGAAGTAAAGCTGCTCATTTCAGCTTGAGATTGTCAGATGGATTTTAAAACATGGCAGCTTGTTTGCTGCTCATCAACCAGCCAAACCAGCTTGACCTCAACCTAGTCTAGCATAGCCTGACATTTGACTCAACAGCATAAAGTCTGCGCCACGTTTCAGATAGTTTTGACCAATAGCCAACTATTGTTACTGAAAGATTTCTGGGTAACACTTATTTTTACATTGTTCCTGTTATGTATGGAAGTATGCCATCTACAGTACAGGAGCCATAGTGAAAAAAGATTTGAAAAAACCAATTCGGAGATTTTCCGAAAACATCATTATTCTCTCGTCAATCGTTTGAGTAGTGATGTAACTTGGTTAACTTTTTAGATTGCTATGTAAAAAGTAGGGATGATTTAAAATGTCTAGCCCCTGGAAATTATTATGAAAATTTGAGAAGAAAAAAGGCTGTTTTGATGCTTTTACCAGCCACTGTGTGGAGTGACGCAGCTTTCACACCGGACATGAAAAGTATTGCAGCATAAAATCTATACATTTTTGACGGTTTGTATTGTGCAAGTGCAGTTTGTTGCTGCACCAGCCAAAGCACATTAGCAAAAGCTTGTGTTTATGACACAAAGTTCAAAATAGCTTAATATAATGTGGATATTCCACTTATTTTCTTATATACTTATCTGAGTCCACATTTCTACAGTATGTACAGCAATATACTCGTTCCTTTTGCAAAATTAATCTGTCATACAAAATTGTATTATTTTATGATTTATTTAGTGGCTCAGTGGTTAGCACTGTTGCTTCATAGTAAGAAAGTGGTTGGTTCAAGTTCCACCTGAGCCAGGAGGTTTGCATGTTCTCACCATGTCCATGTGGGTTTTCACCAGGTGCACTGGTTTCCCCCACCGTCCAAAGACATGCGCTATAGGTGAAATGGGAACCCTTAACTAATCCTAGTTTTAATGAAAAAATAAAAGAAAAAACTGCCTATTTGGCATTTTAAGTTCTATTGAACATAATTAGGATAATTTTCAATCAAACAATGCAATCTGACAATGCAAAGTTTGTTCTTGCTGTCAATTATGGAAAAAAAGGTCAATAAAAGTGTCATGATAAACGATGTGAGTTTAACTGCAGGCGCTGTGTGATGCGCGTGCACACAAAGGGGAGTCATATTTGTCCAGGGAATCAGATTTTGATACAACTTTCCTTCCCTCCTCTTGCGGGTGGGCCTACGTGGTTTGCACTATGCTCTGGTCACTACTAACTGAAAGGAGTAGATGCACACAGTTATGTTTTGTTGAATAAGTTGCATATAAAAGTTACCTTTCAAAGCCACCTAAATTTATTTTACCCACCTATGCCCTTTTTTTTACCGGCACAATCAAATTCAAAACTGCCCAGTTGAGCAGAACACCGCCCAAGTTATAAACAGAGGTTTGAGGTCAGAGTTAAAAAGGTCTTTGAGAATGTTATTCAAAAAAGGAAAAAAAAAAAAAAAAAAGAAACATGAGAAACAAAGAAACTTTTGCAGAATGCAGAAAGAACCTCTCTCCAAAATAGTTGGATATTAACACAGGACCAAAATACATGAAAAAAAATCTGCAAGTTTGAAAAAAAAAAAAAAAAATTTTGCACCTAAAACAGAGGTCGGAACAAGCTGGGAACATTTTATGCCGACGAAAAGGTGTAAAATAAATTCTGTGGAAAAATTAAAAAAAATGTGTTCATGCATGGAAATTGATGTTCATTTGGAAAAATACCATCACAGATCTTGGACCAATCTTCAGAATTAAGCAGAACTCTTGAGTCCTGTTCCCATAGTGGTTCCAAAGAATCATTAAAGGAATAATCAATGTAAACTAATAATGCATAGAATTTAGAAATAAACTCTTTAAAAGAACTGACTGACAGCATGGTTCCAGTTCTGATCCTTTTAAACAAAATTGGCTTTGCTTTATTGAGACTAAAATGCTGAGTTTGAAGATATTTTAAAAAGCATCCAGCAGTCCAGCATTCCAATGCTGCTAATCTGAGTGGGTAAACCTGGGTTCAAAGTCAAAGGGGAATGGATGGATATGATTTGGGGGATGTTCTTCCAGCTGCAACCCATCACTGGGATGCACCTATACACACTCATTCACACACATACACTACAAACAATTTAGCTTACCCAATTCACCTACAATTCATGTGTTTGGACTGTGGCGGAAACTAGAGCACCTGGAGGAAACCCACGCGAACACGAGGAGGACATGCAAACCCCACACAGAAATGCCAATTGACCCAGCCGAGGCTCAAACCAGCGACCTTCTTGCTTTTAGGCGACAGTGTTACCCACTGAGCCACCGCACCACCCTAAGAGAGTTTATATGATTTTTTTATATTATAATTGTGCACAGTTAATGAATTTGTGTGTGATTGAAAGAGTGTATGGGTGTTTTCCAGTGCTGGGTTGCAGCATGAAGGGCATCCATTGGCGGTTCATTCCGCTGTAGCGACCCCCAGGGCCATGCAAAACCCTTTCAAGGGGCATGTGCTCAAGGTAACGAGAGGGGGTTGACACCCCAAAGAGATTGATTACTAAAAGGGCTTTCAGGTTGAGCCCTACATGTGGTTGATCCCTAATAAATCAGGGACTAAGCCGAAGGATAGTGAGTGAGTGAATAAAAATTTATTATTACAAAGTAATTTTGTTTTTTAGCCAAGTGCTTCCAGAATATTCGGTTTTGGCCCAGAATTTAAAATTTTGTGCAAAAGTTAGTGCAAAAATTAGTGACTCCCCCTTGGACTACAGAGAAGCAGTTATTGAGATGAAAGCAGAGGTCATAAAGCCCTTCAGCTTCACTGCACAACACTGCGTCTATTGCTCCCTCTATCTCTCCCCTTACTTCCTCCGTGGCTAATTTTGACTCTTCAGAATGCAGCTTGAGCATCTCCTCTCAGCGCCGCACTCGTGTGGACTGTTGACTCTCCTCTATCTGTTGTTGTCCAAAGAGCTACGAGACAAAACATCCCTCCACACAATCAGAGCTCTGCCACTGGCCTGCCTCTCCGGAGCTCAGCTTGTGGACTCATTAAACTCTCCCCCCCAATGTGAAACAGATTCAGCTCAAAAATCAATACACACTCTTGTGGATGTTGTGACACTGCGTGCGTGTGTGTGTTCGAGGTCAGTGTCTTTGTGCTTCATAAGCGGAAAAGAAGAAACAGAGAGTTTGAGAGAGCACACAAAATGTAACGGCCGGGTTTCATAAGCTTTATTTCCCCACGGAGCGCGAGTACAGTCCATTGATCAGCACTTATTGACAGGATCTTTATTTTAGCTAGAGTGGAAAAGAGGGAGAAGGGTCTGTCCTACTAGCAAGGTGAAATATTGGGCCTTTATATTGTGAGTCCACAAAACTGTGCTGTATTTGCTTAAAATACATTTGTCTTTTCATTCTTCCTTCATTCCATCCACCCATTCATCATATATTTGATGATTTCTATTATTTTTTCTGCCTTCTTCCATCTCCTCTTCCTTTCTCATTCAATTCATCAATTACCTCATTTTTATTCTATTCTTTCAGCTATCCTTCTCTTTATACTGTCCATCCATCCATCATCCATCCATGTCTACTTACTCTCCTTCTTTTATTTCCACCCATCCTTGTATACTTACTGTCCTTCTTTTTGTCCATCCATCCATCCATCAGTCCATCCATCCATCAATGTCTACTAACTGTCCTTCTTTCCTTCCGTTCTTCCTTCCTTATCCTATATTTTCTTCTTTACTTATTCCTTTCATCAATTACTTTTTTAATACATTCGTCCAACTATCCTTTTATCCATATTTCAAACCTGTCCATCCATACATCAATTCATCGATCCATCCATCTATGTCCACTTACTGTCCTTTTTTCTATTCATCCATCCATCCATCCATCCATACATCCATACATCCATACATCCATCCATCCATCAGTCAATGTCTACTCTCTCCCTCTTTCCTTCCATTCTTCCTTCTTTCCTTACCCATCTCTTCTTTCTTACCCAATCCATCCATCAATTCCTTTTTTAAACTCTCTTCTTCCAACTATCATTCTATTCATACATCATCCATCCATCCATCCATCCATCCATCTATCCATCCATCCATCCATCCATCCATCCATCCATCCATCCATCCATCCATCCATCCATCCATCCATCCATCCATCCATCCATCCATCCATCCATTCATCCATCCATTCATGTTCTTTCTCCCATTCATATATAACCAAAAGGTTTTATTTTTATAAAGTAATTAATATTAGGCTGTTTTTTTTTCCTGAACATAAATGTATCTATCCTTATTCCTTTCATGGTTCATTATTTTTATTATTGCTTTCTTACACCATTATTTTTCTTTTCTACCAGATGCTGATCATGGGGTGGTCAGCATTTTGTTTTTCATTTCCTGTACTCCACTGTGTAATTTAGCATTTTGTTTTTCTTCAGTAAATAATTTAGTTGCAAGCATTAAATGAAGAGTAAATGTTCTCCAGTATATTTTATTTTATGTTAAAAACAAGCATGAGATTATGTTTATCTTCCTTAAAATTGGAATTTAATTTGATATTTGATTAAACCTAAGGTAATATCACAAACATCTATGTTAGGGGTTGCAAAACAATGCAAAGTGCTCTGAATGACTGTTTTCCCCCCAAAATGTTTTAATAAATTTAGTTTTCATCAAGGTTTAAGGATACTGTGATGATCTCTCAGAACTTACACAAATGATTTATTTTTCTCTCTCTGTCTCTCTTTCTCTATTTCTTTTTATTTAATCACATATTTGCAGAGCTTCTTTGATGGCTGGGATATCAATAAGAAGAAGGATAAAACTAAGGGAAGGCATGATACCCTAATGGGTTGTGAGTCACTTTTTTCAGTCTTTGCATGAATATAAAAATGTCACGATTTGAGAGTAATGCCTTAAATAATTCTCCGTTTTACGGATACTAAACCTCAGAATGGCTGGTGATATTAAGTTTTGATGTTCCTAAAATGGGAAACAGGGAAATTGACTAGGAATAATAATAATAATAAAAAAACACCAGTTGATAGCTTTTCATTTCGTTTGCACATACTGTCTGCACTGTTATAGCACTAAAGGCATTTTTAGTAAATAAGGTAACAGCTTTACCAAGTAACAAAATTAGTGTGGAAAGTAAGACATTTGCTATTATAAACCTAATTTGCATAGAAATCAGACTTTTATTGGATTTTACAAAAGTGATGCAGGTGTTCACCCCAGAGTGTGCTCATGAAATGGTGTTTGTGTTTCAGATGACCGTCACAGGGTGAAACTGCACCCGCTGCTCGGTGATCCAAACTCTGACTATATCAACGCCAATTACATCGATGTAAGTCAGCAGTCTCATATTCTCTTCAGCAACACACTGACACTGTTTTTGTGATTATGTAGCTCCCCTGCAGCTCGTTCGATATTTGAAGATTTGACACCTTGATATATGTAGCATATCATCATATCGCTTTTAAAAGAAACTTTTTAGACCACTTACAGTCCCTTTTCTGGTCGGTAGGATTAAATATTTTGTTATTTTTGTTCTGACATATCTGACCTCCCAAAGATTTTGGAGAGTATGTGGTCAGATGTGAAGCATATATTCCTGTCAAGTGCTTTATGACCACTTTTGGGTGCGATTTGCCCTTTAAGAAAGAGATATGTGGGCAAAAATGGTCAGCCATACCTGCTGAAACAACCTGCTATCTAGAGCTGGTCCAAAATGCACCTGGTTGGGCACTCTTCATGGGACCTTTTCCAAAGCCAAAACTCACCCACACATTTATATCTGTATTATCATTGACCTTGAATGCATGTGCAGCTGTTCTGCAGCATAAAAAATAATTACTTTAGAAAAAAATAATCAGAAATTGGCAGAATTTCTATTTTCGAGTTGAACAATCCCATCTAATAGATTTAAAAAGATTGTAGACACAAAACCTTGCGATTTCCTAACCTTGACTGTTTGGACCTTGGATGTAAGTGATTTGTTGTTCATTTCAAATGGAATCCTGCAAATATGCCTAGCAATTTGAAAGAAATAAGAAGAGAATGAGTAGCCATAAGTCAAGAGACATGGATGTACTGTAATTATGCTGGGGCATACATTATAGTTTTTTTTTTAATTATTTCTGGTCATAACATTTGACCTTCTATAATGAACAAAATGGCTTTAACTTTTGTATTACTGTATGTTCAGATTTTAGGTATGATTTTAAAGGTTTTTATTTAAAAAAGACTTTAAACTTCAATTTCTTGCAATTTCCTCACCTTGATAGTTTGGGTATTGGATACAGCAAATAATTAACTGGCTTATGTTAAATATTTTGAATAAAATATTGTAAAGCAATGTAGCAATGAAACATTTGAAAGAACTGGGAAGAGAACTGAGAGTTTTGAGTCATAAATACTATTGTATGTAAGGCATTTTGCTTACATTTTATCTTTATTATCAATATTTGTCATATATTGTACATTGGAATTCCAGTGGCTGCAGTATTAACAAATAACAGGAGGAAAACTAGGCATTGACAATTTAAAGGGATAGTTCACTTAGAAATGTAAATTTATGCATTCATTTTCTTACCATCTGCTTAGTCCAAATGTGTTTCTTTCTTGTTTATCAACACAAATAAGATATTTTGAAGAATGCTGGAAAAACCTGCATTGATTTCCATATTAGTCTTATTTTATGGATGTCATTGACTGCTTGTTTCCAACCTTCTTCAAATTATCTTCTTTTGTGCTTAACAGAAAAAGAAACTCACAAAAGTTTAAAACCATGTGATGCTATACAGTATAATTGGTTATAAAAGCTTTTGGTGGATTTTTGGTTGAACTATCCCTTTAACAAGAATAGATTAAGGAAGATTTTAAAGTCTTTCATTCAAAAGAGAACTTTAAACTTTAATTCCTTGCAATTTCCTCACTTTGATAGTTTGGGTATTAGATACAGCAAAGGATTTAATGGGTTATGCTGAATACTTTGAATGAAATAATGTAAATGTAAGTAGCAATGAACAATTTGAAAAAGGTTTGTGTCATACTGTAAATACTATTGTATATAGGGCATTTTGCTTACATTTTTTTGTCATTTATTATCAGTATTTATCATATACTGTACCTTGTAATTCCAGTGGTTTCATTATTAACAAATACATAAGAGTAAAACTAGGAATATGACAATTTAAAGGGATAGTTCACTTAGAAATTAAAAATTCTGCCATCATTTTATCACCATCCACTTGGTCCAAAATAGTTTCTTTCTTCTGTTTAGCAACACAAATACAATATTATGAAGATTGTTGGAAAACCTGTATTGATTTCAACATATTTGTCTTTTTATGGAAGTCAACCACTGCATGTTCCCAGCATTCTTCAAAATATCTTCTTTTGTGTTCAACAGAAAAAGAAAATATTTAAAACCCAGCCTGATCTCATGAGGCAGCATAACTATTTCACGTTTTGTCAGTTTAGTGGCTAATTCGTGCAAATTCATACGAGTTCAGTCACACGAAAATGTACGATTTTAAAAAGGAGGCGTGACAGCCAACCCCGCCTCCAAACCCAACGTCATTGGGGGATAAGAAAATCGAACTAAATTGTACGAATGAGATCGTACGATTTTATACAGTATAAATTAGCCCCTAAATCAAAAAGTTACAAATTGCCATGAGATTGCATTGTTAAAACAATATGATGATGTACAGTATAATTGGTTATAAAAGCTTTTGGTTGATTTTTGGGTTGAACTGTCCCTTTAACAAGAAGAGATTTTTGTTCCCATATTATTTTCACCTTCAGTGAAAAAGCACAAAAAGTCAAGAAAGGCCCGGTAATGAAAGGATGCTTCTTTTTACTGTTTTTGGTTAGCCAGGCAGTAAGTATAAGCTATTAGGGAGCATATTAAAGTGAGTGCTGCTCTGTTGTTTAATGTGTTTACTCGCTTTTCATTGCTGTCCTTTCATTTTGAACACCTCTTGAATCAACCCAGAAAAGTAACTTGCAAGGAACTAGCTTACACAAGAATAAATGAGGTCATTTAAAAGAGGAGTGTGTATTTATATTCAGTTAAAGACTATAGAGAAGTAAAAACGCTTTTTAAACTGTTGTTTAACATTCCGACCAGCCCCAGCAACACCGACTCAGCCAATGGAGTAAGCCAGTGGGCGGGGCTATCAGTTTGTGCAACCAATAGCAGAGAGAAGTGTCTTGAAAGTGTTTAAAAGCAGCCGTTTTTCTGTTTGATGATGCTAGAGGCACAGAAATTTAACACATCACACTTTTAAGGTTAGTTTGCACAGATTTGCCCACCTCCACATCCGAAACATGTGCCTCCATTTCAAGTGTCTGTCCCCTGGCGTAGAGCTTAGTCGGCTAACACAAGTCTCTCTCTTTCTTTCTTCTTCTAATTCTCACTCTTTCTGTCTGTGATCTGTTAATCCTCTAGCTCTCTTCAGCCTCTCATTAACTAGAGTCTGTCTTGTCTTTTTCTACCCCCCTTCCCCACCTCTTCGACTTTGGACCCTGTAGATTCGGATAAACAGGGAAGTAAGTACTTCGCTGCTCTTTCTTTTCTTTCTCTCTGCTTTCTTTCCCTCTGTTCCCCCCGAAAGCTCTCTTTTCTTCTTCGTATTGTGTCATGGCTTTGCTCTGTTTGGATTACTTAAACATGAGAAAGAGTGGCTCCGTGACACACATAACTCTTTTATATTCATCCCTAAATGTGGATGCATAAAACTTTCATGTTCCATCTGTTAGGTTTCTTTGCTTTATTTATAACAGGTACCTAGTTTCCACTTGAGAAAAAAGTTATTTTCACTTTTTCGTTCTTGTTCTTTTAAAACCAAAGATGGAGAGAAGGTTCAGTCACAGGTTTAGGGCCCCGATATACTTCAAGTGAATTAGAGCATGCTAGTGTGGCATTTAGAATGCAATCATGCCAGAATTAAATTTGTTTTGATTTTGTTTTAGAAGTTTGAACCAGGGTAAACACCTTTGAACTAGCATTGGTCTGTAATTGCATATTAGCATTAAAAAAGCCCACGTCACACCAATTTTCAAGGGTGCACATAACCGTTATACAGGTGTGCATGCTATATTTAAAAAAGTGGACTAGATATGATGCTCGAGCAGGGGTGCTTAAACTTTTACCTATGAAAAGCCAAAATCCAAACTGGACTAAGGGTGGTGGGCCAAAGCTAAGTATAGAGTAGGGGAACTATGAATCATCAATCAGTGCCCCAAAGTCACTGTAGTCTGTCTGTAGCAGGGGTCACCAAACTTGTTCCTGGAGGGCCGGTGACCTACAGATTTTAGCTCCAACTCTAATCAAACACACCTGAACAAGCTAATCAAGGTCTTATAGGTATACATGAAACATCCAGGCAGTTGTGTTGAGGCAAGTTGGAGCTAAACCCTGCTGGGACACCGGCCCTCCAGGACTGAGATTGGTGACCCCTGGTCAATGGTCTAATGTTGTTTTTTTTTTGTTTTTGCATTTGCATTTAAAATCCAAAAGTGCTAAAAGTGTAATAAACAGTGTTTGAACTCAAAGCTTATTATTTGAAATTTTCGAAAAGCCTATGGGAAAATCTTAAAAGGATTGTATCAAGTGATCCATTTTTTAAGCTAGCAGCCGATTCGCCTACAAGGTGACATCATAGTTTCTCCACTCTGTACCAAACAGTATTACATTAAAGTTGCTGGAGTAACTTCCGAATTTGTTAGTATTTAAAAAAAATATATATAATTTTTTTTATTGTATCAATATAATATATTTTTGTTTCATAATGTTTATAATGCACTTCTGACAAATAAAACCACAATGTTATTTTATTTTATTTTATTTTATTTTATTTTATGGTCAAAAGAATACATTTTCTCTCAATTGTAAAAGATTTGTCCTATAAATGTGTTTTTAGCAATGTGCCACACATACATATTTGTCAACATTTAAAAAAAAGTGTTTTAGGGTTTGACCCTTTATAAATTCTAAAAATTTGACATTTAATTGAAACATTTTATTTTAGTTTTTATTTTTTAATTTTAGTTTTTTTTTTTTTTTTTTTTTTTGGAGCTCAGCAATTTAACAAACAAACAGACAAACAAAAGGTTATGTAAAATTAAAAATTAAGATCTCTGAGAGATACGCCCCAACCTTCCTCATCCTTTGCTTATCTATTCTCTGATTGGTTGACGGGCCAAATCAGGGGTTACCATGAGCCAACTTTGGCCCGCAGGCCCTTGTTTGGGCATCTCTGCACTAGAGAATCTATTTTCTAGTGATGTTGGCATTTTGAAACCTTGTGGTTGCCAGTTACTCCAAAAATCATGAATTTTCTCACACATCATTGGTAAGATAATTATTCCGAACATGTTAAAATGTCTATCATAGGCTGCATAAAGCAAAGCACTTGTTTTCATGATATAAAGTTTTCATTTTGTAAACAATGTTGTCAGTTGGCTTCAGATGTAGTTTAAACGACCTCTGATTTAATTAATTTGGATGTGAGTCAAGTGGCGTGGGATGTACAGTACATAGGCTCGTGGCTCAGAGGAAGAATGGAAAATTAAGTTGGTGTATGGACAAATTGTTTAGTAATGTTTTGTATTCAAAGATAAGATTTCATTGAATATAACGACATGATCATTTTATGAAATATGTGTTCTTGTGAATTAAGGGATTCCTTTTTTGTCTGAGAACAGCTGTGGTGTGAGGACAGGTGAACACAGTGAAAACCGATTACTTTCTCTTAACATTCTGTAAAATGTATCTACTGTACTGACAGAGAACTGCATATGAAGAAATTATAACAATCTATCGATAAACACACACATTTTATCCTCCATTTCTGCTTTTCAATGCTTTGGTCTGTGGATTGGAGATCATGCTGAAACATGTGGAGAAGCCATAGAGATATTTAAAGGGGACTGATGCTTGCACAGTATTGCTGAACTAATGGCTACATTTTTAGGGGTGTCAGGTTCTGTGTGGAAATCGGCATGCCCTAGCAACGCCTATGCACATGTTTAAAAACAAGTTCATGTTCAGATTTCAAAGATTTAAAGATAGGAAAGGAAAGTCGAAAAGGAAAGTTGTGTATGGCAAATCCAGCCTAATCAAAGTGCAGACACACAGCGTGAACACACACCTTGAACAATAGCCAGCCATTGACTGTTCGGTGCCTTGCTCGAGGGACCAACAACAGCCTTGGTATTGAGGGTGAAAGAGAGCGGTGATTATTCACTCCCACCACCTACAATTCCTGCCAGGACTCAAACCTGCAACTTGGATCACAAGTACAACTCTCTAACCATTAGAGCTGGAACACACGAAGCTGGCCATTGGGATTTGTCGGTCTGTTGGTCTGGCTAGTTGGTTTGGTATGTTCCACAAATCTTGTTTCAGTCAGCTTTCATCCGTTTGGTGTGTTCACGTGCAGATTTGATCAAACATGAGCCAACATCACAGTTGGGTTTTGTTGGTGCTAGTAGCTTGCTGTTGACTTGCTGTGTCTTGGCCCCTAGGCCATGACTAACCCCATACATGTTATATATCTACAAAAATATGTATAAGCATGCAGGACGGCAGTGCTATGAACAGTTTGAAGAGCAAGCAACTTTCCAGGTACTCCTTTGAGAACTGGACTAAAAACAGTATAGAGAAGGGTCTGGCTGCAGAGTTAAACTGTATGTGCACCCCTACGTGATGTTGATAACCATTCCCTTAATATTCACTGATGTTTACCTGCTAAACGATCAATAACTTTGTAGCCCTATATATAAGTTCACTACTTCAGACATGTTTGCCCTTCTGAATCTTGTTTTCTACTAGTAAACAGTTGCATTGTAGTGCCATTCCAAAGAGGCAAAATGACTTTCAAGGAGTTTAGGACTTTCACCTTTACTGATCCCCACTGACAAAATGACTTGCCTAATGGAACACCAACAGTGTTGTATTTAGCCTTCCTCAAGACACAACCAGAGAAATATATTATTCATCAATACTTTAACCTTTAACACTATATGTACCATATCTGAGGCTCTGTCTTCTTTCATATGGAATTTTTTTTCAATTCGATTATGATTGTCAGATGTGAGTAAAAAATGTAAATACTAAACTTACATAAATACTGAACTTATTGAGGAAATTGATTTGTATATAAAATCAACACCATAGTCATGCTTTAAAGCAATCTACAGTAGAAAGTGCCACATATACATAAACATGACTGTACTTGACTGGAATGCTAAATTGCTATGAAATTTACCATAATCAAATACTTTGTTAGCTGGAGTTCATTTTGTAGAGTGGAAATAAATGTGTGAACCTTTGATGCAGCCACAGTGAATAAATAAACATAACAATAATAAAGTGCAGTAAACTGTAAAAATCAATAATTAATTTAAACATATTAAATGAATAAGAAACCAGTTTGCTCTCTCAAGCAACATAACGGAGTTGTTTTGCACATCTTAAATAACTAGAAGTAGATAAAACCAAATGCTTCACACATTTATGTTACAAATGGTTGCACCACTCTGCAAATAATAAGTGCTGGGTAATAACTGACTACATGTAATTTGAATTATATTAGCAGATTCCAAAAAGTACACTAAGTACTCATTATTACAATAAATATTAGATACTACATTTTAAAATAACCAGATTACCTTTATCATTCACACAAAGGCAGTCAATTATTCATCATTTATTATTTCTGTCTACATATTTTTTAATTACATATTTAAACAGATGTTTAGATTTATTAAATCTGTTTAGATTTGAATATTTACAGATGCCATTTAAAGTCATCCACATTAATTTGTGATTTGTGCTTCTAAAATAGACAATTGCAGAGCTTAAGTAAACATTCATTTAGCTTGCTTTCACTTTTTATTTTAGTTATGTGTTCCATTTTGTATTGTACACAACAATGCACAGCTTATATAACACACTCTGTATTTCAAGCTTATTTTTTACCTCTAAGCAGAACAAAAAAGAACTTTGCTATAAGTATATCGGGGCCTTTAGTCTTTGTGGTGTAGTTGCTGAAAAGACATTTTAGTCCAGTCTAAGATCTTGCTGATCTCAAGTTATTTAAGGTCGTCTGTGGTCTTGCCCAAGCTGGTGCCCTGTTGAGAGGTCAGTCTCCCAGCCTGACCAAGTGATCAATACCAGATTTTTTTTTCTTCTTTATATTTGCTTTACATCAAAATTCTCCTCAGCAGTCTGTGAGTGAACCCAACCTTTAGCCTTTAAACCTATCCATCCATGAATTTTACACAACAGAACTGCACCTCAACTTCTGCAGACTCAAAGTTTTGTTCTCTCCAACGTTAATTTACTAAAGTTTGGAAAAATACAAGGAGAGTTAGAATTTGAGAAGAATGAACAGGCAAGCTTTAATTTAATACACTGCACCTTTATTCGGTTGAAGAACAAATAAACATATATACAGTGCTCAGCATATGTGAGTACACCTCTCACAAATCTGTTTTATTAATTCATATTTTTATTAGGAAGCTAAACAATATTATTTGTGTGC